GGCTTTGTCTCACCAATCTTCTTTTCCTCATTGCCAGTCTCGGTCGAAACAGACGCGTCAAGATCTATCGGTGCTTCGGTTGGAATTGGCTGCTGGTCTTTCAAGGCCTCCTCATTGAGGTTGGAGAGTGCAACGATCGAAGATGGTCCTGGTGTGTCCACAGCATTTGGTAGAGGTAGAGTCGGCATAGTGTCAACGAAGCTCCCATTGCCTCCTGGGCCACTCAATGGGGAAGGAAAAGAACACCATGTTTTATGTTTCATTGAACTATTGAACCACATGTCTTACATACCAATACCTACCAAACCAATGTTCTTGAAAGCGGTCCTTCCATGGCCGCCTTTTTTTCCACTTCACGTCGCGCCATTTCAGCCCTGAAGGGGAGTTGAATGAAGAAAAGGAAATGACTACAGAAATGGTACTCAACATGTTTAAGCCCACTATGTTTATCCAAGAGCCAAATTACATGTTGGGCCCCATGGCGCCTGATAGCCGCAATGCGATCCAGGACAGTTGATGCAACGGCACTGGGTTCAGCCGGGGCCTCAACTGGAGCAGGGTGTGGAGGTGGGCTTGGATAGATGTCCTCCACGGGACTTGGACAAGCCTCCTCATCGTCAGCATCAACATCCAGTACCCCATCCTCAATGGCAAGCTGGCGGAGTGTCGGCCGTTGAGAATCTTCACCAGCGTCCACATACCAGTAGGTGTCAAAAATGTCATAGATGTCAAGTAGGCAGCGGTCCTCGACGATGATGTCATCAACAATAGAACACAATCACTAAGTCCTAAACTGTTGGGAATATTCACAGGGGTACCCTAGAAAATTAAAAACATAATAGGGCAGAGGGGCCCGTGGAGTAGTTGATGCAGCAAGCCACCTCCTCAAGGCATAGGAGAAAAGCTTCTTGATACCCCAGGCATCCATTGAAACCACGCCAAGGTCTGTCGGGTCCAGGTTCATCAGGTTTCTGAGGTACTGGACCTAAAGGGCACCCCTCCATCCAAACTCAAACACACCAAACGTGGATCTTATCATTGGGAACTGGTGTGAGGGTATCAAACAAAAGAATGTGGGAACCTCGCCTCTGCCCTCACGGCAGCTACTGGTACTGACTGCGGGGCATCAGCCTGCGGGCACCACCATTGAGCAACATGTTCCATCACTGTCTTGTTCATGGCAAAGGATCTCTTTGATGGTGCCCCCACCAAATGCTTTTCTTTTGGCCACTCAAGAATCGCCTTGAGCTCTCGAACCCGATCTCTAACCATTGAGTCCGCTTCCCACACCCGGTGAAGAGCTGGTCTGTCCATCGCTCTCCAAGGTTCACCCTGAATTGAGCGCAGCACAGCACGGCCAGACTTTTGAGCAGCTGAGGGATTGAGAGAAATCAGGTGATCAGCAAAGTATTTGTACTCAATACTCGTAAAAAAAATACGCACGAAATAAGAAGAAGAGTGTCGGCACTTCAAGCCTTCTCAAAGCAGTGCCACTGAAAATAGAAGACAATCTTCATCGCAGTACCTAGAAACTCATTCAGTGATTCACTTGATTGCCCAAAGTGGCGCCAGAAAAGGAAAACAGAGCGCACGAGATGAACCTGGTCGGATGGAAGGTGAAGAAGGGCACAACTTGAGCACGAGGTGGCACTATCGCCACTCAAAGTGGCTGCGTGTCTCCAAATGTCACTCAGAACACACAAACCCAAGAATCGCCGAAGTCTACAGAAACCTATTTCTACAAAAATAGTGACCCTGTTGGAAGGGCTAGGGATGGCTGGGGGATGCCACGCATCGCAGAGGTCTTTTTTTTGATACAACAGCGACCGTGGGTTGAGGTGAAGATCTGTCTAGCAATCTCTTTAGGATGTTCACAAGAAAGGATCAAAGAGTATCATAATATGAGTATCATATAGAGTAATTATCAGAGTATCCCTTGACGTCTTTCGCATCTTGTCGACCCGCATCGCACATCCCGGCGCCTGAGGTTGACCCATCCCCGGGCCGACGTGCCCTTCGATGCCGTCGAGGACGCGGAACGCTGCGTCCACTTCCTGCATGATCAGGCGGCTGCGCCAGCCGGAGCTGCTGTTTTCCCGAGGGGACCGGAAAGCTTAGAGCTGGTGAAATGACAGCTTGTTGAAAGATGTTGAAAGTTTTGCATCAACTAATTAGGTGCAACAAATGTTCCGTGAACATTCATTTCATGCATGTATCGCTACTGTATGATATTGTATTCGTCTTTTTTTGGCAGTTTTGACATGTTTTGAATGGTTTCGAGATGACCTCCCTGGTTGGATCTACTGGATGATGAATCGAAGGCAAGTGGGAGTTCGGATTTTTTGAAGCCACACTTTCCATGACCAGTCGGGTCCAGTCGTACCGAACCTGAGAAGGTGATTGGATCCGAATGGATTCCATGCGGAAACGCCATGGAAACGCAGATGTTTTCGCCGCCCAAAGGCCGATGAACTGGGCCTCGACCGAAGGAGGCTCGGAAGACGTTCGACCAGTGACGGGAGTGGACGTGGTGGTGTCAAGCCAAGGGCGTGATGAACACCGGAAGCTGCAAGTTGCTCTTGAGCCTTTTGCTCCTTTTGTTTTGCTTCAATGATGTTTCAAGGCTATAACGCCCATGTCTTTATAGCCTGATTTGAGTTAGTTTATAGCCAAATGTGAAATAGTGCAGCTTCCAACATCCTACCCCCATCCTTAGCCCTCTCTGGGCTTCACCACGGGTCCTTCCCACAGACCGACCATTCACCAGACGCGCCCGGGCGCCGCCGCGGCAGGTTGGTCCTGGGCGGCTTGAGTGCCGGAGGACACCTGGCGGCCATGGCGGCCTTGGAACGCGGCACCGAGCTGGGACTTGCAGGCCCGGTTCGATGGGAGGGTCCGGGGGTTCGTTTGGTTGCGAGGCTTGAAATGGAACACGTGAGAGACCGGACCAAGATGATGGGTTCCAGCAAAATTCCCAATTCCGTGTCTTTTTCCTTCTTTGCTCCAACTAAGTATGTGGAACTCACTGTTACCTCTCTATAGAGTCTAATAAGTCTATGTCGTTCTTGGCAGCCATGCCATCTCTACAGCACAGTGCAAGCTTGAGCTGCCTGAGTTCTACTCGATTCCGTGGAGTTCAAACGGTCCAGTCTGGGCCCTGACAGGCTTGGTCTTGCTGAACCCGGTGCTGGATTTGGACTTTCGAGCCGGGTGGCGAAGGCCCGGTTTGATCGGAAAACACTCATGTTTGGGCTCCAAAACAGGGGTGAATTCAGGTTCTAGGTATATATGGCATCACTTCACTTGGGGCATATCTCGGTTCACCCCACCATGTTCCCCCGACCAGTCCACCGTTGCCCGCGAGCGAACGACGTACCCCAGGTAGGTCATGCCAGGAAGATCTCCTGGTGCCATGACCCACAGCCACCTGCTAGCGATGACAGATTGCCAAACATAGCGCGCCGGTCATTGAACCGGAAATGGCGAGGCAAACGCCGTCCATCTGGCTGGGGGCGCACCTCCTCCGAGCCGTCTACGGGGAGGAGGCGCTCCATGCGAAGTCCCCCCTGCACCAGGCCGCACTTCGGGCGACGAAGCCGGTGCGGTCGACCGATGGCTTCAGCGGACTCGGAATTGAGATTCGCTTGGAGAGAGATGTCTTTGTAGATGAGCCAGGAGGCGAATCAAAGCAAGCCTGTCCCTCAAATTGATTTCGGCTAGAAACTGTTTGCCAAAGACAAATGCAGAGAGCAGCACTGCTTGTGATTTGGCTTTCTTTTTTCAATCCCTTTGAAACGGTACTTGGGAAGTTGGTGGTTTTTCACGCCATGGCGTGCTCGAAGCCCCACACGTGAAATGGGCACCTGCATGGTTACTAATAAAGCTGAACATTGACGCTGCAGGTTCCAGGCGATTATGTTATAGCAATAAGCTACTAGTAGCAAAGGCATCACTAGTAGGAGCATGGACGCTACTAGTAGCTCCTGGCCTTACTACTAATAGCAAGAAACTACATGAATCTACTAGTAACCAGGGCATCGCTACTAGTACCAAGGGCATTACTACTCGGAGCAAATAGCTACTAGTAGCAAGAAGCTACTTGTGTCAATCTGAGGTCAGAAGTTTTGAGAACCACTTCTTTACCCACCAGCCGAGGGGATCCAGTTACCACAGCTGGTGAGCAGTGGTTCCAAAAACGACCAAACCATAGACCGAACAGAACAGGCCCTGGTTCCTTATAGAGTTGACGGATCCACCATGCACCAGGTTTGTGTCGTGTTCCCCCACAGGTGCGAAGCTTGCCTTTTCCAACCTTGATCTTGCATGGCGAGGAGGACACCTACTTGCTGTTGTGGCATGTGGGAGTAGCTGCGTAGCTCCCCAGGAGCACTGAACAAGAGAAACAACCTCAGCAGTGACTTGAAGCATACATCCTTGGAGACCGAGGGGTTCGCACTTCTAGAGACCTGGCTTTTCAAATGACTAACCAGTGATGTTTTGCAAGCGGCCCCGGATAGAGAGGCTGCGATCCGACTCCTGCTTGGCCCCACTAATCAGCGCGCCTGCTCAGCAGGACACGCTGATTCCACTCGCGCAGTCTGAAGCCTTTATGAAGGAAATGCGACGGCCACTCGTCCGACGTCTCACATCGCAGGTGTGACATCGTAGGTGTGTGCTCAGACGCACGACGCTCGCCGCTCGCTCTCGTCACGTTTGTTCTTCTCGGTGGGTTTTTCTCAGTCGAGCGAAGCCTTCGGTGGTTCCTTTTTGGTTGGACTTTTGCTTTGGAATCGGACCGAGGAGTCGGAACAGGTGACGGTGAACGGAGTCGGAACAGCCATCTCTTTGTTGTGGAACCACCCCCAGAGGACAGTTCAGCCTGCTCAGAGCAGGCGAACAGCCTCCTGGAATCTGGATTTGCAGGGCCCAGGGAGAAAAATATGCAGATGTTCCGTGAAGCGATGTCCATCTATGTCATGTTCAACATGTCAAGATGAACAGTTTCCTGGTCAAAGGTATCTAAGTGCAGTTCCTGCCTCGGACGGCGGCCTCCGCCTCCAGGTCGAACAACGAGTGCATGGTCGTCCCCTTTCCACAGGCCTCGGACGGTGTTCATTCCAGGGAGTGCAGCATATATGGTCAGTGCTTTGCTTTTTTGGGCCACCCAACTTATGGTGGCTACAAACACGTCATGACTAACTAGTTGTACCGATTCTTCCTGATACTATCACGACTTTGGGAAATTTTATGAAAAATTTGAACATGGTAGACCATTCTCTTCTTTAAATAGGATTCTACACTCTACTCTAGGCATTTCTATCACTCCACTTGCTTGGGTGAGGCCCAGCCACACTCTTTTCGCGCTGCAGGTGGACCACGACTTCCTCCGGGTTCCGCCCGAGTTGGCCGAGCGCCGCTGGGTGTCGAACCAGATTCGTTTGTTTCGTCGGGTTTTTGGGGCGTGGCGTGCCGAAACATGCGCCCAACCCTGGGAGCCTCAGCAGCGCACTCAGATGGCCCCACTGCACACACAGCAGTGGGCCCACGGCACACAGCGGACGGATTGCTGTCTTCTGGACCGTTCTTTTTGGTTATAGGAATGAGGGGTGGCGGGATTCTACAAGGAGAAGACATATCAGGGTGTATGTATGGGATGGGTGTTTTAACTAGTACTGTAGGGAGGTCCGGGTAGATCACCCATGATCCACCTCCTGCTTGATTCACACCCATCGATAGCCGAGGCCATGTCTCCACGCTGGGAGAGTTCTTTCGCTCTGCCGGCGTGCTGGCTTGAGCCGGCTGGCGGAACACTGGCGGCTGTGGTGGCTGCCGGCAAGCGACAGGGCAGGGAGTAAGATGAATTTTCAAAGTGGATTCCTGGGTCAATTCACTCACTGTGCGCATCGGAAGAGGGGCACAGTGGGGGCCCAGTGCATGAAAGCCAACTCTGACTGATGGTGCTGGTGTGTACATACGAAATTCACCGTGCACCAGCATTTGAAATCTGACGGCCAGAGGGTCCAATGGTATCTCATCTAGGACAACAAGCACTTTGACAACATAGAAGATTCATTCCAGGAGGCTCATATATAAGTAGGTTTGGGCCTGGCAAGCCTAGCAAGCCTCAAGCCCAGGATGTGTTCATGACATTCCCGCACACCCTCTCCAGCTTTGTATCATAAGCTATAGTAGCTTTTGGATCTCCAAACGGACCTCTTGGCACAGTCACTGCTTGACATCTTCCCAGCTGTCGCGGCCCCATGTTGCCGTGGCCTGGGAACGATCCACGTGGTCGCGAGACGAGGTAAAGGTGTCTCCACCGCACTTGGAGGTTGGGGGGACACATGGACGTCATGGATTTGTGCAGGTTTCAGCTATGATTCATATAAATTCGATTTCAGCTCGAGTGGTTGGGGTTGAAATGGGGTTCAGGAGAAACAATCCAGGAGAGCTGCAGTCCTCCCAGTACAAAGCCTTTGTATGAGCTGCAGGTCCTCCCAGGAATCCCTATCTATATGCCCAGATCATCTCACACAAAAGAAGCTGGCTGGAAGGGCTTGATTCTCAGACTGTGAGGGGTTGAGAGGATGTCACCTGATTTCACTGCCTCTGCCTCCTGGAAAGTCCTTTGGCAGACACCATCGGGTGCCAAGGTCAGAAGGAACACATAGAAACATGTACTAACATGACAGGGATACAGCTGGAAGCAAAGAGTGATGATGGCAAATTTAGGAAGTGGAAAACACGCACCTTCTCTTGGCACCTACTGTATCCATTTCATCCCCTTATAGTATTGGACATCCATTTTTCCGAACATCAATCGACATATTCTTGGCCAAGTCTGGCCAGTTTGGTGGATTTCTGGCGTGTGAAACACCGTGGTTCTCCTGCGAAACGGCGTGCGCGTCGCGACTCTCCGTGTTGCCAACCCACCGGAGAGTCGGAGGACTCGGTGGGCGCCGTGGTGAAAGTCGAGGGACAGGTGGCGCATTGGTTTCAGAAGGCCCGGCACCCACCGCGACGTTTGACATCGTCCATCGTCTGACGTCTGAAGTCGTGTCACGTCTGTCGTCCTTGGAGCGTGAGGAGAGTGAGTGGTTTGGAGGTGTGACCGGAAGACACGGCAGACAAAGGTGTGCGGTGTGGGTGTAAGATGCTATAAATATTTGTGTTTGGCAAAGCAACCACGGTTTGTAACGTTGAAGATCAAATTTGCAGGTTGACAGCCTCTCCTCAATGAGCTGCGTTGGTTTGGCGCTTGTTCCGGGATAATGATGTTCGATGGATTCGATGGATTCGATGGATTTGGATATTGGGAACCGTCTCTTGATTCCTCTGATGATCGCCAGGGAGATGGCTTCATACAAACGAGCCTGCCAGTCTTTGTTCGGAGCTGAGACGGCTAAACAGAGGGGGCCGCAGTTTCGCTGAAGCGTAAAAAAGGCATGACGTGAGTTTATGAAAAAGCTTTATGTTGTTTTGTCGAGGAAAAGCTGATGACGTGCATCATCCTGCCACATCTGGAGCCAAGCTTCAACCCACCATACCCAGACACTCCATGTATGCTGTATGCCATACTTGCATACATTCACCCCTAAAACCACCCCAATGTATGCAAATATGCCATAATATGCCATACATGCAGTGTTTGGGATAGATACAGTGATGTAGTGCCAAAAATCCCCACCATCGGAGCAGAGATGAGGTGAGGACACGTGATCATCTTTTGGCCCCCCCCCCGAAATGATCGTGGCAGTGGCCATTGACCATTCCATACCGTCCCTATGTCCCCCTAGTCACTCTGTGAGCACGGTAAAGACACGGGAGAAAATGCCAGTGAACACTGTGAAAAGAACGCGGTATATTGAATATAAAGTATAGTCCTCCATGTCTTCTGTCTCGCCTATGCCATATATAGCACTAATTATGATTCTCTCCGAATCAATTTAAAAACAAGAGAACCACATTGCCCCCGCTCGCTGGCTTCACGCCGCGAATCGGAAAGACTTGTTACGTCCATGTTCCGCTTCCGCCGCTGCTGCGGCTGTGCTTAAGGTCACCCCGTTGGGACAGCTCTTCGAGGCAGGGAGCCGGACGAGCACGACAGCCTTATGGCTGAAACCCATCCCACAGATGTACCAGTCACTATAGTTCAGGGGTCCTAGTTCAGGTGAGGGGGGTTCTGAAGAATTGGCCTTCTCAAAGATGGAAACCAGCACGATTGTCCACCTGAAGAGAGCTCTGGAGTAAGAAGATCTCATAAGACGATCCATCCTTTTTCGTTTTGGATCTCCACAACTCCACCGCTGGCGGCCGGTTCGCAGCCGGGGCGCCGCCAGCGAGGTGGAGGTGGTCCGTGCGGTGAACGCGGGACAGTGCGGGTGCCCGAGCGACCTCAGTGCGGCGACCTTTTCGCCGAAGCCGTCGAGAAGGTGAGGTGAGGAGGTGCTTGGCCGAGGGCGTGAAGGTTCTTTAGGCCCAAGCCGAGAAACAACGAAGGAATGGATATATAACCTGTATACATTTGTATACTATCACAGAATAATACTTGATGGATGAATACTTATCACAGTAGGATCTATATAACCAGTATACTTATCACCGAAAGGAGGACATGTTAAGCATACTTCAGCGGTGGAAAGTGGCTGAAACCCGAGAAGCTGCGAAAGGTGAGATGGTTTTGCTGAACTTCCAAGCAGAGGTGTCACAAGTGATGGGCCTATGAAGGCTCAGCCACTCCATCTACCCAAGAGTTAAAGGCTTACATCACCAAACCCATTTTCCTTCGCATCTTCCTGTTAGCCACTGGCCAACCCCGAGCTACTTCCATCTTGTCTACGGCAAGATCTCCCTCCATACCCTCTTAGGGTGCCCCCGCCAGCTCAGGAAGCACCGCCAGCTCAGGGGCACCACCTCACCTCTCACCTCTGGCTTCTCACCTCTCAGGAAGATGGACAGCGGCCTGGGCTTCTGCATTGGCCTCACGGGCCGATCTCCACGGCGCAGCCGCGACGACTCGTCCAAGGGCAAGGAGGCGAGAGTGGTGATGGGAGTGGTGATGAGAGACTGGGATGGGAGACTAGGATGGGGGAGGAGAGGTAGGGATAGGTAGGGGAGGTAGAGGGTTTGATGTGTGGGTGGGTGGGGTAGGTAGATGGGTTGTCAGTTATGTCAGTTGTGTCATTTTTCTCCAAAGAGAGAGAGAGAGGGAGGGAGAGAGAGATAAAGAGAAACAGGCAGAGAGATGGAGAATCAGTATATTCGGGTGAAATTGGTGGAAAAGCTGGATGTGTGGAAGACTCAAGTGCTGGTAACACTGGGCTGTCTTTGATGCCTTCTCAAGTGACAGGAAAAGGCATGCAAAGATAGCTAACATTGTGCCATATGTAGCACTAATTAGTGTGCCATAGTGTGCCCTCCACATCGTGCAGACAACGCATCCCTTCTCCGATTTCCATACTGAGAGTTCCAGCCCAAGGAAGCTCATCAACATGATCAAAAATGACATCAAATCCATCCACTAGAGTTGAACCATGTTGAACCACCACCACCCACTTGAATCCTGAGTGGGAAGAGAACCTGGCTCATACCTCCAGCTCCGCGGCACTGGCTTGAGAGGGTATCACAGCCACCTGTTCTTGCCAGGACTGTTGGATTGCAGGGGGTGACTGCGCCTTTTACTTGAAGGGAGTTGGGAAGCCCAAAGAGTTGATGAAACTTGGTCAGAAGCGAAAAATAACCGACTGGAAGCGGGGGGCCAGTCATCGAAGAATCGCGGGCAAGACGAGGCGAGCCAGGGCCAGGCTGTTCCCATGATCCACTCGCTGGATGGGCCTAAAAGCCATTCCTGGATGGAACTGGTGGTATGACATTCAAGCCAAGATGATGCAATGTATTGCAAGGTCACAGAGTCACAAACACCTGCAGCATAGGTCTAGAGATGACAATAGGCTGAGTCTGACTCATGCCTCGATTCGTGTAGAGTCTTCAATGCAGACCCCGGCATTCGTCGTCAGACGTCATTGCTTTGTTTCCCCTATACTTACCGTACATAGGCGTGTCGACACCTGGCAGGTTGGCCTTCGAATCCAAGCAACGGAGCCGCTGAACCGCTGAACTCTTCGAAACGCAGCACGTCGAAGCAACGTGCGAAGCAACGCCCGTCGAACGGATTCGCGCCAGCAAAATCGCTTCTCCCCAAGGTGAAGCACCCTGTGAGCAAGGACTTGCGAGAGGAGGCAGGGAAGCGGCCAGTTCCCTGGGGCTTTCAGGCACCTGAATGGCCAGACTCGTGGACTTCTCCATCGGAGTCGACCATTTCAAACCCATCTAGCAGACACAATCCGATCCATGGGACTGTAATATGCCGCATGCCCCAGAAGACATCCACATCCCCAAAACGGCACTCCGAGACCAAAACGGCGGTTTCACGGACCGGAGTTTCAGGAGTCGATGGTCCGTCCAGTCCCGAGCGTGGACCGAGCGTGCTCCCATCATCCCACCTGCTCCACTCCCGAGCGTGGACCTCCCACCGCGTGCGCGGCACGTGGAGAGCGAGCGTACTCGAGTGAAGATCCGACATCGTGCGTCCCAAGCCGACAGAGTGGGGGAGTTGGTTCGGAAGTGTTGGTCGATGTTGGTCGGAGTTCTCCTACACCAACTGTCAAAATAGATTGTGTATATAGGTAAAGGGACTGACCCTAACACAACTATTGTCATCTATTTCAATTTTGTTTTCACACATGATGTCAGAATTGTTGGATGATATCACAAAGACAACGTTTGGCTGATCCCAACCAGCTATAGTTAATGGAGATTGGAACTGTATTTTGGCAGTCACTAGGTATATCAGTGGTTCCCAAGACTCAACAACAGCAATGCACTTTGATGCACTTGTCGCCGAAATCTTTTGCCGACTGTGACCGCGAAACCCAAGCCGAACTTTGATGCACTAGTTGGTCTCTGTCAGAAGATACCTCGAACAATTGATGCACAGTAGTAGTCTTGATGATTGTTTTTTGCTTTTAAGGCTTATTAAAGTTTCTGTTTCATGCAGTAAACATCATGAGGTCATGTCAGCGGTTCACTAGCCATTATTCCGGTTCCTTCTGGGTCTGGCCGGACCTAGCTTTGTCAGGATGCCACGGAAGACAGGCATTCCTGGCGATGGGACAACGGGCGCCCATTGGGATGACCCACTGGTTGGTGGGTGAAGATTCCGGAGAAGAGACCAACAGAAGCAAGCATCTTACGCCAACCACTTCGAATGTTACCCAGAACCATGTTAAACATGGTTCAACTACGATACCGTGATACTGGTTGTGGTTGGTGGGTGCCTCCTAAAGCCTCCTATAGAGGACCAAAAAGGCGTGCCAATTCTCATGCGGCTCATGCGGCTCCCTTTTGAGCTGGTACATGGCTCGAGGGACCCGATTTGGAGCCTTTCAGGAGTGGACCAAGAGTGAACAACCACACAGATTCGGGGCTTTTCTTTGCCACCGATTCCGTTTATAAAGGTTAGGTCAGTGCCCCGTGCCCGGCAACTCGAGTGGCCGAGTTTCCTTTACCTTGGACACCTGTAACATCCTGTCACCCTCTTTGCTGACCTGGCTGCACTGGTTTTCCTTCCGGCTTGGGTCGAGTCTCAGGGTCGAGTCGGGGTCCAGGTTCCTCCGTGTCGCGGGGGATTTGAAGCCGAAGGTGCGGCGTACGGCGGTCTGGCGTTTGTCGCGGCGTTTTGACGCGAGTGGGATGGGTGGGGGGTGCAGGTCTCGGTCGTTTCTGGCCACGCTTTTGCTTAGGAAGAGATTGAGATCTATAGTGATCCTAGGTGCAATGCTTTGTGCTTGGTGCTTGGTGACCATTAAGCATCATTATAAGCACACATGAAGGGGGCAGGATGCCGCCCTGCACGACCCATAGGTGCTTGTCATCTCAAAGCTTTTGTTCTCAATTGGAGGTAGAGTGCACCCCTGCGTGCGTAGAATTTGACAGGGTTTTACCATGCGATCGGCATGGCTGTTCATGACTGGGGCTGTGTGGGCTGGGTTGGATTCAGCCCAAAATCGGCCCACACCACATGCCACATGCCCTAAGGGATCCAGTCGTACTTTCTCAGGTTCGGTACGACTGGACCCTCCTGGCCACCCCAGTCCACCTTTTGAGAAGGTACGACTGGACCCCTATAGATGGGAAAATCCGGTGTTTTTCCCTGCGCAATGTGCTCCCATGCGGCATTACACGTTCCATGGAGCTTTTCCGATCGAATCATTTGTTGGTTGAGCGGATGCCACTGGCGGATGCGGCGGCGAAGAACATGTGGCTTCAGGATCGCGTGGGCATCCTTGCTGAATGGTGCTAGCCTCAGGATTGATGTTCGTATGCGCCGAATCCACCAGCCAAGAAAGCGCTGAATCGATGACTGTGCTCCTTCCCATCTCCTTCCACACCGCTGAACACGAGCGTTTTCACCTGTCGCCGCAGCCAGAATAGATCCATTTGCGAACGACCCCGGCCGCTCACCACCGGCCCTCGGGCCTCGCCATGTGCGAACGACCCAAAATGTCGGACGTGGCAAAAGGCGAGCGTCGTCGTGCCGTCGCTGTGGGCCGTGCTTTGAGCGGTTGTGAACCATGGTGAACCACAACAACGCGCAAGGTTGATTTGGGCTTGGTGACCGTTGGTGGCTGGTTTATATAATATCAACACCGGAATAATCAACGGCCCCCCCCTTCAAGGTCAACAAGGTTTTGAGATTGGAGGTATTGGAGGACCACATCCCCCTAATAAAGATGACCTGATGATGAATGATGAGATGAGGACCTGGACCTGATGATGGATGATGGTTGATGGGATTCTGTGTCATGAGAGATTGAACCATGAGAGCCATGAGGGCTCTGAGTGTATTGGCACAAGTTTGATCAGAGATCAGATAGGATTCGATTGATCAGAGAGTCATGCCAATTGGATCATTGCATATCAAAGCATGGAGGATGAGAAATGGGAGGTGGAGGCTATTTGTGGTGAGGGTGGATCTATGGACTGGATGGTCTGATGAGCGGTGGTCTGTGGAGGACAGCATTGGAAAACCATTTGGCGATAGCAGCCGATAGCATTGGAAAACAAGAATGAAGCCAGAGGGTGTGATTGATTACACTACTAATAGGGGAGGGGGGGTCCTACTATTGGGTGGAGGTACGGCCTGTGTGCACTTTGTGAGCTGGAAAAAGTTAAGATGTTGATAGAGTTTAAAAATGAAAAACTTTTGCTAGAGAGTTTTTGGGGCTTGGGGGATGGTTGGTAGCACGAGCCCTTAGGAGAAGCCATCAAAAAGATTGGTGAGCAGGATGAGGCAGTTGAGAGGTGGTGGTGAGAATCAGGAAGATGACGAGATGAAGACACCAATGCTATCTCTCAAACAGATTGCGTGAGACAAGGGTGGGTCAGAAGATCAGCTTCACCATGGACCAGAAGATATTGGATACTAGCCAAAAAGAAAGTACTGTAACTATAAAAGAACTAGTAAACTATATTCTCTTTTTTTCCGGGGCAGCTGGGATTGATTAATAGGGGGAGGTTTCTGCCCAAGAAAAATATATTAGGAGGATATCCATCTACGTCATAAATAAAGTAGTTTAGTATTGGGGGGTCGAGCTGGGATTGATTAATGGGGGGTGGTTATTTAATCGACTTAATCCTATGTCAACATCCATCTGTGTTGGAGGGTAACGGGTGTTTGGGGCCTTGTGTGCGTGCTTGGATTGAGTCGTTGGAGATGTCGTTGATGTCGATTGATGTCCTTTGTGTGGTTTATGCCTTGGCTGTTTGCTTGACACCGAATGCTGGTCCAGTTTTTGTTGAGCCGTAAATCACCTGGTGTTCCATGAATGTGGTAACCGCAAAAAGTTGCCTTGACTTGACGGTCGAGTATATATATATATATATGTATGTGTGTCATATTATGTTCTACAATTAGTATCTTCATGTTTCTTCCAGTCGCCCTATAGTCAAAAAAAAAGGTGTGGACACACATGACACACCTCCTCCTTGGCACGGCCATGTGGGGGGGACGGCTTCTTGCGATGACTCACCGGATCGAGCCCTCCGTGGATCGCTCATTTGCTCGGTCAGGCTTGGGTGTGACGCCCGAGAACAGATCGGTGCGGCAGAAGGGGGGCATGACTTGGGTGATGCCTGGCATATATTTGGGCAACAAGCACTTTGGCTTCGAAGAGTATTTTTTGTTGTCGTTGGTTGTTAATTGTTGTGATTATCAATTGATGTGCCAAACGAAATTCTTCAAAATATCACAAGACCAAACTCCAAAGTCGATCAAAAACCATCTGGACATGGAACAGAAACCGTATGGAACAAAGTACATATGGAACAGGGCCATAGGTATATATAGGTACCATAGGTACATGGCAGTACCATATGGTCAAGATATCAAGATATCACCTTCGCCCAAAGTACACGGCCACATGGTCACATGCAGAACCCGTCCGATCCGTCCAGCTCCGATCCGTTCGGTGTGGACCTTTTCGGCCATGCGGTGTGCTCCCGGTAGGAAGAAAGATCCGGTTTTGAACGAGGCGACCTCGCCAGGGGGGTGTAGGTTTTTGTTGTCGGTCATGGTTGTCATATCATTTTCTGGAGGGGAGGTGGGTACGTCAGGCTTATGAAGCTCATGAAGCCCCGGCGCAGCAAAGAAACCCGAGTTGCTTCGACATATATACATATGTATATACATGGTACCCCCCAAGACCCACCTTTATACATAATTATAGATACAAACGATATGCTGCGTATGATATTTTTATACTTGGGTTTCGAGACTCAGAGCAGATTGAAGTATTTGGTCATGCCCAAGTATGACCGACTCTATGTTTCAAGTCTGACAAGTGGGGAACCCTGTATGTCTCAAGTCTGGCAAGTGGAGCCTCAAGTCTGGCAAGCGGAGCCTCTTGTCAATCTCAAGTCTGACAAGTCCTTCTTAGTGGATCCAAGATCTCAGATTTCAGGAGGGTCTTGGCCCAGCAGGCCCGTCTGGATCCATGGACCCAAGATTTCTGGGATGCATCCAAGATTTCTGGGCCAAGACCCTCCTGAAATCTTGGATCTTGGATCCAGGAGACCCGCCTGGATAACTCAAGTCTGAGTGAGCGCCAGCACTTTCCACACTTGAGGCGCATTGACACCAATGCATGTCAGACTTGAAGTTTTGTTGGTTACTGCCTTTTGCCGGACTTGAGGTGTCCTTGCTAGCACATGCCGGGCCTAAGGGCACTGCCAGCAGCAACGTCGAAGCACTACAGCTAAGGGAGGATTAGGTGACGAGTTCCTTTACACCTGACCATGCAAGTTTGCAAGCTTACACACACGCAACAACACTTGCTTGTTTTTGCAGTCCATCTTGGTTGTCTGCGTTGTGATTGAGCCATGCCTGACACTTTGGCGATCAGCTGGAGCCCATCATACCCGCAGCCGTCTTTGTGCTCCCGAAACTTCTCCTTAGCAGTGGTGTGTCGCGGTGAATGTCCATTCCGGCGAGCGGACAAGTTTCTTTAGATGGCAATCGCGCTTTGCTCGTTCTGACTGTGAATTAAGAAGCCCCGCAGTATGGAACAGAAGCCCTGCAACGGTTGCTTGAGCAAGCTATGCGTGGCGAGGTCCCCATTCACCCGTCACGCGTGCCAATACGACGAAAGCATTTGGCGGCAATCATGCGTAATGTCCAGCGATCGCCAGGCTTGCAACCAGTGGCTCTTTGGTGGGTGGAGCCAGGCCGCGCATGAACGGGTGATAGCAATCCTGAAAAAGTCCGAAAGTGATCCGCGCTATTCGCCCAGTTCTGAAAGCCTTACCGGCTCCACCACCTGTGCCTTGTCGCATGAAACGAGTTCCTCTGATATCGGGTAAAATCCCTATAGTCATATAGAGTCATACCCATTCGTTCACACATTTGAGGAACGTGATATGTGTATTAGTCTACACGTGTTGGTTGCACTTCCAGAATATATTCTGTGAGTTCTGTCAAACTCACACCCTGCTGAGGTATTGGCTTTGGAAAAAGAAGTCGGAAGATTTTCGGCGAACGCTTATTCCAGGGATTCTTCCAGTGATTCTGAGGAGGAGGTGGGCGACACACATCCACCACCGCAGATTGAGATACAGCATTTGGTCTTGCGGGACTCAAGATCAACGGTCCAAAACGGTGGGTCTTGGGGGGGTTAGCATATATATATATATATATGTATATAATATATATATATATGAATATATGTGTGTGTGCATCGTTTTGGATGGAACGATTGTGGGATCTCAAAAAGGAGCTTGTTCGATGCAACCTGTGATTTGTAGGCCCTTTGGTGTTGAACAGCTGACATTACAACGGTAAAAGTTAACCGTCAGTGAACAGTTATCACTATTTTAGAGAAAGGCCTGCAACCTAATCATCATCATCCACTGTTATTGGCAATAGAGAATATACCCAAACTTTACAATTTGCGCAACCTTCTTGCTGGTGGGGAATCCAAGGCAAGCTGCTGCAGATGTGGCTCACTTAGAGCAGTCCGGAGTGAGAGCGGTGGTCTCGGTGGGTGCCAAACCTTCCATGGCCTTTCCGTGTCACTATGTCCCAGTGCAAGACAATGGATCGGACTCCATGTTGCCTTTCCTGGATGAAGCCTGTGACTTCATTCACCAACATCGAAAGATGGGCTCAGTGCCTTGGTGTGAGATGGGCTCGGCTCGTTGGGCCTTCTTCAGTTCGTGACCGAACTGGATTTTCAGGTCACTTCGGTCATTTCGGTCACTTGGGCCTGTCACGGATGAGATGGAACTCCAAAAAGTCACGAACTGAAGAAACTGGAGGAGATCGGTTTTTTTAGTTTTCCCATCCTTTCCCCTGTCGTTTTTTTTCCGCTATCATACCTCGAACAATCTGAAGAACATGTCACTTTCTCAGGACAGGCAAGTTCGTTTGTTTTCAATTTTTCTTCAGGTGCTGGTACATTGCAAGGGCGGCATCAATCGTTCGCCATGTTTGTTGGTGGCCTACTTGATGAAGTACGAAGATCTTTCACTGGGCGAGGCCCTGAGCCTCGTCGCGGCGGCGCGCCCCGCCGCCCACTGCCCATCCAACTTCCGGAAGGTGCGTGAATTCATGTGGGGAAATAGATGACCAGAGCATCAGAAGCACTGCCCTGGGGCGGTACCACTAGAATATGATAGAAACATATAGAAACATCTTGGAAGACTAGAGGAAAGACACTATGATATTCAACAACATATGTCTACAATGAGTCTACAACGAACAACCCCCGTTGATTTGGTTCGAAAACAAGACACGAAGCATTCCATTCGATGAAGTTCGGCAGGATTTGCAGAGCTTTGCGGCCCAGCTGCGCCCAGAGACGGCGCCTCCGTCTGCGCCGTACTCGGCGGATCCTGGTTCACCAGTTCCCAACGAGAGCCATGTACAGTGCACAGAGATTCGGGGAACTCCAGATCCGCCAGAGGCGTCTAATTGAGATCCTTTACTTCGAAGGTGATCTCTTGGATGAATCGACGTCCTGAAAAAGAGCTGCCAGTGCAAGGATTTTCGAGTCCTACAGCAGATGGAGTAGCAGATCGCAGAACCTTTCATGAACACATCGGCGCTAATCGGTGCTATTTGGTTTTCTGACACCTTGGAGATCTAATGAGTGCATGTAAGTTAAATCGCAGCCAGTTGTGGCACGGATTGTATGATCGTTCGGGGAAGAAGGGACAAGAAACTTCCTAATTAGTGGGCAGCAGGGCCATAGCCGCAGCAAGAATTGCATCGTAGCAGCCAGCTAGTATGCTGGTAGGTCGTACCACCCAAAAGGGTGTTTTATAGAGGCTAACGGTCACTGTATGTTTATGAGGTATGAGCTTTGACAGCAGGCTGGCGGTGTTTTTCTTTCGCATGCTCAGATTTCATCAGAATTTCACGCGGGTTCCGACTGGCCTGGTCTCCCACGTGGCTTTGGGGCTGAAGCCCGACTGTTCACGTTCAGGTGTTTTTGTCCTTTTATGGCGTGGAATTTTTGAACGACCCCATTGCTATATTGAATTTCGTCAACTGTGTCCGTTGGTCAAAGGCTTTTCAACGCAGCAACTGAGTTGTGGAGGTCTAACGGGTGTCCACTGAGTTGCCTTCAATCTACACTTGATTGAATATTATCCTAGCATTTCTCGGCGGGATTTACCCATGGCTGATTCTCCTTGTTATCACGATAGCTGCTATCACCACCAAGAGATTGCTGGAAATCTTTTGGGAGAATTGATTCGAGGACCGTCGCAGGGGCATAGATGAGTAGAAAGCGCATCCATGAGTTGTTGGGTATGTTGGGTTTCTTCCTGAATGAAGAGGGTAAACACCTTTCCAGATTTGGTCAGGGCCAACAGCTTTTCTTGCTAGGAACAGCTAGCATACATGCTAACATACCTGGGCTGATGTTGAGCAGGTCGTACGCAGCACATACCGAGGTCAGGCAACTTGTCGTTGTTTCTCAATGGTCAACCTGGCTCGTTGCCAAGAGGATCCCCAAAGATGACAACAGGAAGCGAGCAGCCTTTCAAGTGAACGTGGCTTGTCAAACACCATATTAGGGCTATTGAAATATGAGCAGAAAATCCCTACAAGTCCAACGACCCAGGAATACCTGTTCCTTCTTTCTCTATGACCACATCCAAATAAATGATAATCCTTGACGTCGTCAGAAATATATGAGCCCATCCTGATGTTTCTTTCAACATGATGTCCTTCAGATCCAACTCTCTTCTCTTCTGAACATGTCCATTCGATCGGAGGGGCCTCATTACCAACCGATCTCATGTTCTGAGACCATGGAAGGTGCACATGTGGTGGATTCATGGTGGATTCGGCTCCCTCCCTATTTGTTGGGAAAAAAAAACCACGAGACTGTCGGTCTTGCCTTCCTGCGAAACAAAACGTGGCCGAGGTATGCCGTGGCCGATGTCCAACGGTTTCTCGTGGGCTGTGGAGTTTGCCCTGAGTGAGCAAGAGATGGCATCATGAAAGAACCCAAAGCTTTGAAACCTGTGGCAGCAAGCTCTTCGACAAGCAAGCCTCTTCTCAATACCAAGACCCAGGTTCTCCTCCCCCCAATAAGTAGCCATTTCAGCTTCAAGATCCATCAAGACTTCTTCAATCCTTCGTTCAGCTCGCCCCCCAAGGCTTGAACGATCTCGCCCGTCCCCCTTCGCCAGGTGAGCGGGTGGGCCGCTTCGTTTCAGCCATTGATCCCATCGAGGCCCCGGACCATGCGGGGGCTTCTGTGATGGTCAAAGAGCACCACTCGATGGTGTTAGAAATTGTGTCAAAGGTACAAACAAACACACATATGCATACAATTAATACATAACACTAGTATAAATACATGTACGTTGATATTTGGAGTGATTGAAATCCACCAATACCACTTTTAAACCATCATTTTGTCCTATTGAAGTCCCCATCACAGTGGTCAGCTTCAAAAGGCGTCATTTGCACGGTGATGGATCAATGGAATTTGTTGCAAAGTGATGGACTGGTCCATTGGCGACGCCCAGCTTGATGCAACCACCAATCAGAGATGCTGTAAAAGCACCAGAGAGCTACCGCAGTTTTTGAATGGTGAGATGGCCAATGTAACCAGCGTGTTCTGTTGAGACTGGTGTTCCAAAAATGCGATCGCTCCCAAAACAGTCTAAAGGGGCAGTGGGAGTGAGCTGCGATCACTCTACTTGCACTCAAATAATTCAATAGATCCCCTATATCATATCAACATAATTATCCCCCAGAAGTCCAAAGACGATGTTTTGCCCACTGAAATAAAGGATGTTCCTCATTGGGATCACCATGGCTCATCTAAAGACCTACAACATGGTTTGCCATTAAAGACCATCTATGGGATCACGGGTTCCTCATGGATCACTTTAAGACCATCTATGAAATGCCAGTCAATTGGACTTCCAAGGTACCCACAGGTCTTGGACTTCCGACCAGAAACCCCTCCTCTTCGCCCCTCTGCCCTCCTCCGTCGTTGAAACAAAACCCACCGGCGCCCGTTCTCGTCCGACTCTAGGGGGCTCGGGCCGCGCGCATGGGATGCGCGGCGGCTGCGGCGCTGGCAGGTGATGGCTCCGCTCTATGGCATGGCGGACATCCACGTGCGCCAGGTGGGGCGAAGGAAGAAAGCGGAGGGGGAGAAAAACGGATTCCAGGTGGTTGCACGGGGGGGAAGGCGAGGTTGAGGTTGAGCAGTGGGTGGGAGAACATGGGTTCAGGTTGAGAAGTTGGCTTTGTGCAGATATCGGTAAAATATCGGATGTGTTTGGGACATCGCACATGTGAATCCCATGGGGAACCTAGATACAGCTGATGGAGAAAGTCCTTAATTGGGATACCGGGATACCTTAATAAGATAAACACGGGCTTTTTCGACACTGGGTTGAGCAACCCAAAGCATCAACCCATCGGTCCACCTTCACCCAGGACTTGGAGTTCAGCGACCCTCCAAACAAAGACCTTGCCCAACCATTACACCACCACTGTAGATGAAAAACCACTCAAGTAATTCCTGTGACGATGACCAGCGTCATAGGACACATCCCATTATCGAACGATGCTCCTGTTCCCTCAGTCTGGGGCAACCAGACCAGACCAGATGAATATTTGATGCCATGATGACCTACCTTTGATGATCCGCCTACTGGCGATGTTTTGGACGGCCCGTGACTTCAAACAGACCAACATCCAATCATCTTCACCAACCCCCACTGATCTCAATGCCTCATCCCCCGAACAACGAAACCCCCCACATCCACCGCGGAGTACACCTCGCGGGGCGACATCACCGCGCGCCGCAACGGACGGTTCCGCCCTGTTCAGTACCATGAGGCCTCGGAGGAATACACCGTGCGGTCGATCAGCTTGGTGGAGGAAAGTCAGAGCAGCCAAGGCGGAGAGCTGACCGACATGGTTATAGGTTGGAGGCCATCGCTATAAGGGTGGAGGCCATCGCTTGTAGGGTGGAGGCCAGTCCAAGACTGTCTTTTGGGAAGCTTTTTGATCAGCATCTCCTTGTTTTGCAGGTGACCCAGAACAAATGCGGAGAGCAGCCAATGAGCAACAGCCTCAGAGGTTCTTTGTCACTAGACTCCTGATGAGACAACCTAGCAAAACCAAGTAACAAAAGTAACAACCCTGCATCCTCCCCATGTCTTTAGATGCCTTCCGGCCTTGCATGTTTTGGGACGATCTGGCAGTCCGGCAGGGATGAAATTGAGGTAGGTAGGTGAATGCCTCCAGGTGGACCCTACTGAACAGTTATGGATCCCCAAGTGGTGAGCAAGAATTTTGAGACACCGTTGGTACCTGGGGTGCTGGTGGATAAGGACATGCAGCACTTGGAAACTGCTATTCAAAGCAAATCATGCTTCGCAGGGTTGCATCTCCTGCAAACTCCAAAAACATGTACACAGGTGTCCTGGAAATCATCTCCTGTAAGACCTAAGGGTGGGAATAGCTCATGAACACCCCAGAACGTGGGAACCATTTTTGTGGGTCCAGCTGAATGTTGATGTTGCTGTGCTTGTTGTGCTTCTTGTATGTTGTATGTAGTAGTTTAGTAGCAGTAGCAGTAGCAGGAGTAGAAGTAGTAGTAGTAGTAGTAGTAGTAGTAGTTGTTGTTGTTGTTGTTGTGGTCGTCGTCGTCTACAAAAAATCAACTCATGGCTGTGCCTCGTCCGTACCGGACCGGGGGGATGCTCCGGCCGACCTCCGGGGGACCTCCGTGGCTCCCGGCTCCACACGAGGCTGGCCAACATCCATCACCATCTCCATGGCGAAGCGGCCGTTTCGACCACGAGCCTTGGCCATCGAAAGCAGTCTAACGGCCCGGTATGAAATGAGACAGGTCCACAGGCTAGGTCGACAGGAGGGGGCTATAACATCGCAGGTAGACCAAAGGAAACTGTAGACTTGCTTGGAGCTGAATCCAGCGTTGAACACTGGGTGAACTTGGTCTGTTGGTCTGGTATTTGGAACTGAACACCACTCACCCATCGCACACCGGGCACCGAGCCCAACGCGTCGGGCTCCAGACACCGAACCGAACACCGAGGATCGGCCCCTCCTGCGACCTCTATGCCTGTGGTTCGCCCCGGCGGTGTTCGGGAAGTGCGTGGAAGGGTGTTCCATCTGTTCGGGTGGAAGGGAAGGATCTGAACCTGGGGGCTAGCACCGGGGTTGGTTTGGTGGCGTTGGTTTGGTTTGGCGATTTTGAGGACGAACTCACACGGAGGGAGGGGAGATATATCAAGTGCTTTCTTGAGATGAGCAAAGGAGAGGATGGGATGATGGAATTCGCTGTTCTTTTCGCCAAATAAATGCAATTCAAATAACAGCCACAAATCCACAAAAACTATACAAAGCTATTCCTTTGTGGGGAAGAGCAGATTAGGCTAGCAAATCACGCTGATTGAATGGGTGATGGGGAAAAACATAATCATATATTTAAAATGTTGGCAAAGAGATTTGGGATGCACTAG